CCCAGGCCCCTGGCTCTTGGGCATCCCTCACAGTGGGCTCCTGGCCCTTTTGACCCTCTGGGTCCTGGCCCCAGCTTGGGCCAGTCAAGGGTACTCTCATGAGGTCAGGTCTCTAGCCCCTCTCTCTCAGGGTCCGCCTTCCGGGCCCTTCACAACATAGGGTTATCCATCCAGTGGTGGGAGCAAGGGGTTAAGGTGCCCCAACCCACCTTTCACCAGGGTGGTAACTGGCCTGGCATTTCCTGGGGGCTCCCGTGCCACTGAGCACCCCACCAGACCACCCACTCCCAGCAGGGTGCAGTTTCAGGTCATGCCCAGGACCAGGAGCCTCCTTACCAACCCCTTGCAGCTCCCCCTTACCTCCAGGTTGTTCACAGCAGCCCTTCAGCCAGGCAACATTGCTACCTGGCCCCCAGCAGCCCAACTGCCCTGCTTATAAAGGCAGCCCTTGTGTCTAAAATGGCTGCCCTCACCAGGCACCTGGAGGCTGCCAGCTCCAGGCAGGCACACACAGTGTACTACCACATTCATACTTAGATCCCTACTCGGATCAATCAAGTTGAAGGACCGCACCTGAGTGAACTAAGTTAGACTGGTGGCCATTTTTAACCCAATCTAACCTCCCCAAACAGCTGGGAGAGCCCCAGCTCCTGGTTAACAAGTGGTAGCTCCTATGCCCTGACTTCAGCAGCAATGCCCACCTCACTGCCCACACAACCCCCCAAAAGGCAGGACGCCCCAACCAAGCAGACACACGCTCCCCAAGCTACCAGGCTTCGCCCCCCTCTCTCTCTGCCGTGTTCAGGACAGAAGCCACAACAGCCAGAGGAACCAGGAACAGAATTTATTTACAGAAATCGTGCGTGTGCACACACATGCACGCGTAACAGCATCTCAATTTGTGCCGGGCCTCAGGCACCCAAAGCAAAATATAGAAAATATACGGGGCAGAGTACGCCCATGGTTTGCGTCTGGAGATTGTACCCTTCCCCAAGGGCTTTTAGAGATGGCCTCCAGGACCTGGGTGGCCGCGACTTGGACGTGACGAGTCTTTCTCCAGGGACATCAGAGCTGGAAGGAGAGAGGAGACGTTCGTGAACAGACCACTCGTGCTAGCAGCGCCACAGGTGGGTCATCCCTGGGCATCGGGGCTCAGGAGTGATGTGGGGTGGGCAGTGCACAATGCATGCAGATGTGCGGTCTCTCGGGGTCCTGCAGCCTCTCGGCTCCTTCTGGGCTCCAGAAGGGAAGGGAAGGGCAGGGGCTGGATTTCTGACTTACAGCTCTGCAAGTGGGCGATGTTCAGCCACCTGGTAGTCCCTGGGCTGCTGTACTCCAGCATGATGCCTAAACACACAGCAGGACAACCGATCAGCTTCCCCCGGTCGGGGTGCAAGGAGAACTCAGCCCCGAGGCAGGTCGCTGGTTCCCCTGTGCCGTGTTTGCCATCGCAGGCGGTTACGACCAACACACTCCCTGCACGCTGCGGCCCAGGACGCCCCTGCCCCATCCCATTTGCCTCCCCCATGAAGTGGTGCCGAGCAATCCTGAGCCGTGCCGGGTGACCACGTCCCAGACACGTCTCCATCACTCGGGACGACTGAACCACGGCCCAGGGCTTCTCTGCCACCACCCCAGCTCTGCTGTCTGGTTCAGCCCCCCTCCACACCAGCCGTGCAACACTGGGAGCATCATGCTTTCCCAATGCTTTCTGGGGAGCCTGAGGCACGGGCTGATTCGCAGCTTGACCATTCCTCGTGGGGGTGGGGGAAACGCACAGGGAAAGCAATCCTGAGCCATGCCGGGTGCCCACATCCCAGACACGTCTCCATCACTCGGACGACTGAACCATGGCCCAGGGCTTCTCTGCCACCACCCCCAGCCCTGCTGTCTGGTTCAGTCCCCCCCCACACCAGCCGTGCAACACTGGGAGCATCATGCTTTCCCAATGCTTTCTGGGGAGCCTGAGGCACGGGCTGATTCGCAGCTTGACCATTCCTCGTGGGGGTGGGGGAAACGCACAGGGACCAGGCATCCTCTCTCACCGGTAAAATGTATTGCTGCTGCCCGGATCTCTGGCCAGGAGCTGGTGTAGTACCTCCTGGTCCTGTAGCACAGTCCCTCCAGGAGTACCAGTTTTTCTTTGACCTGGAGGGACCAAGGACACGTGAGCTCCTGGTGGTGAGAAGACCTCCCGCACCACATGCTGGTGCAGATCAGGAGGAAACAGGAGCACCAAGGAGCAATCTTGGCCTGTTCTATGCCCTGTGGTCCTGGACCCGGACCTTGCAGGCATTGGCACTGCGCCCTGGTTCCCTCCCTCCATCCTACAAAGAGCCCTGCCCTCCCTCGCCTCCTGCCGCTCGCAAACTCACTCACCAAGTGCCTGCAAAGGTCTCGCAGCAGGACGTTGACCCGCACCTCTCCTGACCCCTGCACGTAAAAGGCCAGGACTCCCTGCACCCTCCTGAGCCCCAGGTAAGGGCAGCAGAGGCCCACAGCTCTTCTGCACTCCTGAAAAACACGGTCACACCAGGTCTGGACTCCCTGCTGACTGCTGAGCAGAGCCCAAGGCTTGCCTCTTGACCCACGACTGTGCCCAGGCCAGGAACAGGAGGGGCTGGCCAGGAGGAGCCTGGCACTAGGCACAGAGGAGAGGCGGTGGGCAAAGGGAGGACTTCTCCTGCCTTTCAGGTGCCACCTGCAGCTGACCCCCGTCTCCCGCTCAGTAAACCATGCGGGGAGACTTCCTGCATGCACAGGGGGTCGAATGTGCAACCTGCCCTGGACCTGGGAGGCAGCCCCGAGCTCAAGGAGGTGCCTGCATGGAGCCGCCCCAGTGGGAAGGGGATGGCCACCACAGGATGCAGGAATGGCAGAGCTGCCCTGGGGCTGGATGGGGGAGATCTGGGGGGGCTGAGGACACCAGTGTCACCGGTCCTTACCTTGGCCACCTCCTTGTTGGGGTCCTGCAGGTGCAGCAGCAGCGCTGCCCAGCTCTGCCTCACCTGGGTCTTATACCAACTATGCCATTTTTTTCTGAGGCACCCTGCCAAGGTGCCGAACAGGGCAAATGAGGCCTTGCGCAGGGCATCATCCTTCTGTGGACAAGAAACCCCAGTGGGGTCACAACCAAACCTCTATCTCACGGGCTTGCTTTTCTTCCTGAGAACTCATTTCTTCCACAACAGTTAAAATCTTCCAGTTTGGACTGGAGCAAGGGGCAGGAAGTGCATCCCCTCCCCAATAGGGCCCACAACCAAGAGCATTCGAATGGGGATGGGGAGCGGTGCTCACTCACGTGGTCGAAAAAGGCCCTGACGTGCGTCCCCACAGCCAAAATGACGGGCCCTGTCCTGGTCCCCAACTGGCTGAGGACCTTGGCCAGAGATGTCATGCCCTCTGTCATTAGCTCATCTGAAGTTGGCAAGAAGGAGGCTTGGACCAGGGTGTCTAGGATGAGGGTCCGGTGGTGTTTCAGCTGGACAAACAGAAGACGTGACACACGGATCAGCGCCTACGCTCCTTACCTCTGGGGGCCCCGCTATTCTCAGAGCGTTCAGGACTCCATCTGTCCAAGCAAGCCCCCGCGGCTACATTCCCGTATGCCTGTGAGATGCAAAGCACCCACTTCTGCACCAAAAGTACACTCGTCACCCCCACGGTCCCTAGAGACACCGCAGGGGCGAGAGAGCAACACTGGATATATGTCGGGGGGTTGTGCACACTTTCAGCCCTGCCTCATTGTCCGGTCTCTACGGTCAAGCTCCGGTCCAGAGAGGGCAGAGGGATTTCGACCTCACCTGCGAAGGGGCACCATGTGCCATGTTCCCCAAGGCCCTGGCTGCCATCTGCCGAACAGCGTAATTGCTGTCCCTGGCTCGTTCTGCCAGCAGAAGAAGGGCTGCGTTCAGCAGCTCCTCGTCCTGAATGGACGGGTCACTCGTAAGCTAAAAGAAACCAATACATGCATGAGATCCAGCACAGTCATTGCCAAGAGCCCAGCCCTGCAGCAGAAAAGTATCCCGTGCCAGAGCAGAGTCCCACAAAACACCACGAGGAAGAGCCTCAGCCCGTGGTGCTCTCCTGTTGGACGTGGGCATGCTTGTCTGCTTAGATGCAGGGCAAGCATCAGGACAGGGGCCTAGTGTGAGCGGGAGAGGTGGTGCCGATGCGAGTAGATGGGGGCAGTGCTTGGTTGAGAGCAGCGTCTTCCTGGGATGCCGGGTGCTTATAGAGGGTGCACTAGTTAGGACCAAGCTCAGAGCTGCTGGCTAAAATGAGGGCTCAGTAAGGAAATCCCTGTCTGCCTCTCCTTGTCACGTGGCAGAAGTGGTGAGGCATGGGCAAGGGCAGAAGAGAAACCTCTCAAGTTATTCCAGTGATCCTCCCTCCTAGGACGGGGCTGGGGCACTGCCCAAGGAAAGAGCACAGCAACCAGCCACCTTTCCATCGAACTGCTCATTCTCTACGGGGCCTTACCTGGCTGAAGAAGGCTGTCCCTGTGAGCCTCAGCTTTGGTGAC